CCGATCAGAATCTGCATTTTACCGAGATCTTCAGATGGTCCATAAGCACATTACAGTTTGAGAAACATTGCTTTAGGGAAAGAACAGTTTTTAAATAACTGTATGGCAAGTTGCAAGCAATTTCTACTGACTCACATTATCATTTGGATATAGTCCTTCCTTCATTAGTTTAACAAATATTAATTGAGCACCTACTAGTACCAGGCATTTGGATGGTTTTGGGGAACACAGCATGCATCTCCATCGTGGTCTACAAATTCCTGCCCACACCCCGTTTTCTCTAGGCTCTGGTCTTTGATGGTCGCTATCTCTTGTCTCCTTGACCTGAGGCCCCTCCAGTTCCCACCCACCCCCTCTTCTCACTTTTTTGCAAAAATTACAGTCAGAATCCCTCTTTGTCACTCTCTATCAATTGTGGTAAATTGACTTTGAGCTGAAGACAGCTAATACTTTGAGTGTATAATGATAAACTGAGCCTGCAGCCCTGGGGATTGCATAGCCCTAGGATTGATCTCATCTCTTTATAGCTAGAAGCAGAGGAGAAGGTTCTTGAACTAATCTCCTACCTTCACTGTAGTATATAGCCTGGTTTCTTGACTGTGGGAGCTATAGTATAGAACCTTACTATTCAATATGTAGTTTATGGACCAGGACCATTGGCATCTCCTGGGATCTTATTAGAAATGTAGAATCTTGAGCCCTACTGCAGATCTATTGAATCAGAATCTGCATTTTAACAAGACTACCGGGTGATTCACATACACATTAAAGTTTGAGAAGCTCTGAAGCACTGGTATAGAAAAGTGTTTCACAAATTTTGCAACGTTAGAATCACATGGGGAGCTTTTAAAACTCTGATGCCCCTGCTGCATCCTATGCCAATTAAGTGAGAATATCTTGGGATGACACCCAGGTGTTAGTATTTTTTTTATTGTGGTAAAATATATATAACATATAAATATATATAACAAAATTTACCGTTTTAAGTGTACAGTTCAGTGACATTACATACATTCACATTGTTATGCAACCATCACCACCATCCATCTCTAGAACTTTTTCCTATTCCTAAAATGAAACTCTATATCCATTTAACACTAACTCCCCATTCTCCCTTCCGTGCCACAAGCCCCATTCTACGTTCTGTCTGTATGAATTTGACGACCCTGGGTACCTCATATAAGTGGAATCATACAGTATTTTGTCCCTTTGTAGTTGGCTTATTTCACTCAGCGAAATGTCTTCAAGGTTCATCTCTGTTGTATCATGTGTCAGAATTTCCTTCCTTTTTAAGGCTCATAATATTCCATTGTATGTCAGTACCACATTTTGTTTTTCCATTCAACCACTGATGGACACTTGGGTCGCTACCACTTTTTGGCTATTATGAGCAATGCTGCTATGAACATGATGGACAAATATCTGTTCGAGTCCTTTCTTTCAATCCTGTTGGTTATATATCCAGAAGTGGAATTGCTGTATCACATGATAATTGTATTCTGGATTTTTTTAGGAACTGCTGCACAGCAGTTTTCCACAGCAGCATCACCATTTTACATTCTCATCAGCAATGCACAAAGGTCCCAATTTCTCCACATCCTCACCAACAATTCTTGGTGGGCTTTTCATTATAGCGATCCTAATAGGTGTGATGTGGTATCTCATTGTGGTTTTGATTTGTATTTCCCTGTGATTAGTGACGATTAGTGATGTTCAGCATATTTTCATATACTTATTGGCCATTTGTATGTCTTCTTGGGAGAAATGTCTATTCAAGTCCTTTGCCCTTTGAATTGGGCTGTTTATTTTGTTGTTGAGTTTTAGGAGTTCTTTATATATTCTGCATATTTATCCCTTATCAGATGTATGTTTGGCAAATATTTTTTCCCATTCTGTGGGTTGCCTTTTGGTAGTCTCCTTTGATGCACAAAAGTTTTAAATTTTGATGAAGTCCATTTTATCTGTTTTTTTCTTTTGTTGCCTGTACTTCTGGTGTCATATCCAAGAAATCATTGTCAGACAACAGGGCAGTATTTTTAAAACTACATGTGTATTTTTTAAAGCTCCCCAAGTGATTCCAATGTACAGCTAAGGATGAGCAGTGTTTCTCAAACTTGAATGTGCAGATGAATCACCTGAAATCCTGTTAAAATGCAGATTCTGATTTATTAGGTCTGGGGCGGGGCCCAAGACTCTGCACTGCTAGATGATGCTGATGCTGCTAGTCTGGGGACCACTCTGAGTAGCCAGGGTATAGAGGAGCATTTCAGTGATGTCCTTCATCTGAGCCCTGAGAGTCGAGGGTGGATATTTACCAGACCTTTCCCTAAGTTTCCTGACCACAGCTGTTTCCCGATCCACCATCAAGACAGGCCTACAGCTGCCCCTCTAACTTTCAGCTGGTACTAAGCAGCCCCAGTGGGTGCACTGGGTGCCTTGCATGGCAGAGGAATAAAATGTAAAGTGCACGTTCTCCCTGCCCTGCTTTCCCCCGACCCCGCTGGGGGCAGCCATCCTCTGATCTGCCCATGCCAAGTGAATTCAGGTTCCACACTAATGATGGCTTGTTCCTCTCTGGCCTTCGCCCCTGCGAGGGATCTCCTGTAGAACCCTGCTGAAAAGCTGTTTTGCTCAAAATATGTTTAATGTGGTCAGAAAGGAAAACCACACAGGTTGGTCTGAAGTTTATAGAAGAAGCTGGGGAGAAAAACTGCTGAAGGTCTGCTTCTAAAAAAAAAAATCCTTTAATCCATTATCATTTTTAGAGCTGGAAAAGACCTTTAGAGACCCACTCCCAAACCCTCATTTTGGAGAAGCTGGGACCCAATGAGGCTGTGACTTGTTCAAGGTCACCAAGCAAAATAGAGGTCAGCCCATAGGTGTATTATTTCTTTTTAATCTTGCTTTAGGTTACCTATCTGGACATGGATAACACAGAGTATCTACTTCTTTCAGATGGCTCCTTTAATTAGAAATTTTACTCTTCACAGAAAAGGTAGAAATCAAGAGGCTGGATCATGTTCTTGCCCCTTGTGGCCTTCATTAGAAAATTTCTACCAGTTGCTTGTATTACCCTAATAGGACCTGCCTCCCTGGTGGCAGTAGCCCAATTGCAGGTGCCTGGGAGGAACTAACTAGCTTCTAGAAGGCATGCCAATGCCACTTTTCTCTTCCATACCCATTGCAAACGTTGTACGCTGATCACAGTACTCTTTCAAGCCACTGCCAATCAGTTGGATTTGGCTCTCAAGTTGAAACTCGTTTGCGGCTCGACAGTAGAGGTCAGACCTTGAAAAGTCCAGTGACCTTCAGATCCACGCTACATTTCAGCATGTCTACACTGGTTATTAAAAATATTCTTTAGCTTCCCATTTTCCCTCCAGCTGCTTATTAATCCAAATATGAGTTTCCTCTATCCAGTCAAACTTTCTGCCGAGTTACGGAACCCTGTAGTGATGCATTTGTGTTTGGTGACTAGACAGCCCAGCAGAAGATGCTGTCTCATTCAGATGTCTCTGTAATTTGGACTAACCTCACTCTGATAGTGTAACACCCAACCTGTGCCCTGTGAACACGTTCCAAGAACCTCCTTCCCAGGGAGGCTCGAGGTTAGTTCCTGCCCTGCGATTGGAGCCTGCCCCTGCATCTCTCTCCAGCAAGGTATCGGGGAAGCTCTTGAATCATGTTTGGCTCTGAAGGCAGTGCCTGGGCCCTTCGTTTTGGTTTCTGGGTCCTGAACTGGAGGAAGCTCATTTGCTGGCAGTCTCCATATGGGGAGTCAGTCTTCAGATCGTCTCTTCATTAAGATGTCAGCCTCACTCAGCCTTGCTCTTGGCTGCCAGGTGCATTGACAAGCCAGCAGGAAAAGTTCCATCAGGAAGGGGTTTGCTGCCTTCTGAAGGCAGGAAGGCACTGCTTTGCCTGTGGGACAAGACCTGCAGAGCCTTTGTGGGATTTGTGCCAGCGGAGCCTTTGGAACACTCTGTGAGTTCTGAGTCTAGGCCTGCGGGCAGAGTCTCAGGGTGGTGCCATCTGTAGTGTTCCAAGTGTCTCCCTTGCTCATGCTTGGAGGGGGTGGAGTCCTTCCACCTCCTTGGCCATTCTCATCTGTCTCCTGGGTGCGTGCCACCAGCTCCACGGCCCCAGGCTGCTTGGCAACACCCTGAGTTATGTTAGAGATATAATAATGAATTATACAATGGATTATACATAATTAATTTATAATAAAACACACATGCAATGGTTTAATTTCTCCAAGTGAATGATGCGTTGCTTGCCAGATGCTGCTGGAATACATTCCTTCACTGATTGCTTCCTGGTCTGGAGGTGATGGCCAGCTGCCCTAGGGAGGGAGCTTGGCTGGGGGAACCTGCCAAGTCACAGATTCCTCCAGGCTACCTCTGGGGTATGTTGCACAGAAGGAAGATCCTTCACTGCCTTTGCTGTTGTTCTAGACCTGGATACTCATGGGAGTCTCACCCCACCGCTAGACCGTCTGAGATCTGTTATTTTCTTCGTTCTCCCAATGTTTCTCCCAGCGTATGGGAGATACCTGTATATTTATACTCTACCATTCCTTCCTTCCTTCCTTCATTCACTCAGCAAATATTGTGCCAGACACTGTCCCTGGCTTGGTGTACATGAGTGAACAAAACAGACAAAGATCCCTGCCCTGGGGGAGCTTACAGTCTAGCAGAGGGAGAATGATAGTAAGTAATAAACATAGTGAACAAATAAATTACATAATCTGTTATACAATGACAGGTGCTATAGAAAAAGAACAAGAGCAAGGTAAAGGTGATCAGGCATGATGGGGGCAGGTTGCAGTTTTAAAGAGAGTGGTCAGAGCAGGTCTTGTGAAAAAGCGACAGCTTAGGAATTACCATACCCTCCGAGAACAGGGGAGAAGGGCACTTCTGCGCCTGCCTACCTGGGGTTAGACTGTCCTGGGCTGCTCTGGCTACAGATCTTTCAGTAACATTTATAACTTTTGGTTTCAGATGTTCAGGATGTTCCTATTCCTGCTGCTGCTGTGGTTTCTGCCCCCCACCGAGGGGTCCCAGCGGGCTGAACCCATGTTCACGGCAGTCACCAACTCGGTTCTGCCCCCTGACTATGACAGCAACCCCACCCAGCTCAACTATGGGGTGGCAGTTACTGATGTGGACCATGATGGGGACTTTGAGATCGTCGTGGCAGGGTAAGTGCCTCCCCCTCTGAGTTTACAGATGCCTCAGTCGGCTTTTGCAGTGATAAGGCTGAGTAACAAATAACTCCAAAACCCAGTGGCTTACAACAACACATATTCTCACTCACAGGTCTTGGCTGGGCTCGGCTGGGGTTCTGGTATGCCACGTCCATGCCTTTTGCTATTGCAGTGAGGTGGGATGGAGGGTAGGTCAGAAGAAGGGTGTTTGATCGACAGGCTTTCCAGGGAGAAAATTTGAATGATCTGCCTCAAGGCACTCTCTTAATATTTAAGCCTCCTTAGTTATGCAGGAGTTACTTCCTCACCAGTGGGACTCTAGAATCTCTATGGAGGAGGGGCTTAAGGGTGACAATTATGATAGAAGGGGATGCTCAAAGCTGCCTTTGCAGGGCATTTTACATAAGACTAAGAAAACATTAATTGTCCATTTCAAAGAAGGGAGGAAGGTGGGAATTAAGAGGGATAGCTAAACTTCCTCTAAACTATGCCTTGGTGCCACTGCTTTCTTCTCTCCTGAGAAGCAGCATTGGGTAGCAAGAAAAGCATAAGATTTGGAGTCCGAATAGCTTGAGTTCATGCCCTAGATCTACAACTTCCTAGTTGCATGACTTTGAGTCAGTCCTTTATTCGCTGAGATGCAGATATATCATCTGTAAAAATAGGATAGATGTAATGCCTTCTTGTCCTGAAGACTCAATAGGCTATTGCACATGACAATGCATTGTAAATTCTGCCAATCACCATCAATAATTATTATTTATCGAGCACTAATATGTGCCAGGCACTGTGCTAAGCCTTTCACATGCATTGTCTTATTTAATCCTCCTGACAACACTATGAAGTAAGTATTCTATCATCCCCACTTAGAGAAAAGGGAATTAGGGTTCAGAGATGGGAAGCGACTTGCCCTCTGTCAAGTAAATAATAAGCGGATGAGTCAAGATTTGAACCCCAAGGCTCCCTAACTCTAGAGCTGCTCAACTACATTGTACAAAGTTTCATTATCACTTCAAAAATCAGTCAATCAATAAAAACACTATAGAGTCCTGTCATCCTTGTTCTGGAAGGCTCGAGCTTTTATAGCAGCACTGAATAAAGTCACTGGCACGTAACATTATTTGTAGCAGTTGCATGTAACAGTCGAAAGCATTGACCTTGGAATTGGAAGGCCTAGTTTTAATTCGAACCATACCACCCAATAGTTGTGAATCTTGTGCAAGTTACTCAGCTCTACAGCCCCCACTTTCCTCATCTGTTAAATGGGCTTATTGAAATCTACCCCTGTCTACTTCACAGGGCAGTGATGAGTATCAGTGGTGATGATGTATAGAAAAGATACTTTGTAAAGTGCATTTCTTTCATTTATTAATTTCTTCTACCTCGTGAAGAGTGCAGGGTACTAGACTCTAGACCTGGGAGTCTAGATCAGCCACGCCATCTGATAGAACTTTCTGTGATGATGTAGATGTTCTATGTTGGTGCTGTCCAATATGGTATCCACTAGCCGCATGTGGCTACTGAACAACTGAAATGTCGCTACTGTGACTGAGAAACTGAATTTTTAATTTTATTTAATTTTAATTACATAGCTACGTTTAAATTAGCACAGTTCTGGGGTTTTAGAAGGAAAAACTAAAGAGCAGAGTGTAATAGAAAAAGGAAAAAACAGAAATGGTTGTAACAATTGTCTGAGGTGATCTGTGCAAGGTGAGGGCCAAGCAGCTCGTCTATGTTCAGTTCTGAGACTGTCCAGTCACTCTGAACCAGAGAGGAGCCCGCCTGGGCGGATCCTGCCTCCCAGAGCCATGTGCCACTCTGCCAGAGTCTCTGGATAAAGGACTTTGATGCATGTCTGAGATGTTCTGGTTGGCCCTGCCTCCTGCTAGGTGACACCAGCCTCCCCTGGTAGACCCTGGGAGCTGACAGAGGACAAAGGACAGCAGGACAACCATCCTACCCTCCTCCTGGGCCCCCCACCAGTTACCACAGTGAGCATGCTCTCCTTTCATCTTGGACGATGGGTTTCATGCGCAGGTCTCCACCCCATCCATCCTTTGATGAGCATGGGACTGCTACTGCATCTCCTGAGCGTGAAGCTTCTTTCTTTCCAAGTGCTGGGCATTCATTTCATCTTCCTCTTCAGTGAGGTCTCTTTGTCTTTCTCTTCCAAGGAACTCAAGAAATTTGCTTTCTTGTCCTCTATGGAGAGAAGCTAGACCATCACTTGTAGTCAGCTCGGAGTAGGTGTCTAACCCTTGTCCAGCTTGCTGCTCACTGTGGGTCTTGAAGCACTTTGGAGTGGTCCTCTAGAAATGAGAACCAAAACATCCTAGGTCTTGATCCTGAATCAGCCAGAGATCAGGGAAAGACCCTTGTCTCTTCTCCCAGGGAAGGGTTGAGTTAGGCAGCCCCTGTCTGAGAAAACTTGGGCAGCCAGATGTTCTTCTGAAAGATGATGTTGCTCATCCCCAGCAAAGAGGAGTTACATGCAGGAGAGGATGGTGAAATTGGGCAGCCTCCGAGCTCCAGGTCAGGTCTTCTTTGTGGCTGTTATGAAGCATCGTGAATTCTCAGAGCATCAGAAAGACGCATTCTCATTTAAGTACCAAAATACATTCCAAAGGCAAATATAACTTTTTACTATCTTCACTTTAGGATGATTTGTCACTGTCTTCTTCTTTGGGCTGGATAACCGGGGGTTGACTATACAGACATATTTAAATCAGGACCTTGGCAGGTCATTAGGTCCCCCCTCGCCTTCCAATAAAGCCATAGCTATAGTTTTGGGGGGCTCCAGTTGCTGGAGCCCCCAAAATGAAAGGCTCACTGCCCTGCCTTTCATTCCCTGTGGACTCCTTGGTAGCATTTGTGACTGACTTTTATTCTAGTTCATCTACCTTACACCCATATTTAACATTGTTTCCTTCTCTGTTTGATTGTAGACTCTCTGTTTAAGAATCATGTAGCAGGAGTTGAAATTTTTAAAAATTGAATGTGAATGCCTTTACCTGGGGCACCTGCGGTCCAGCTCCTGACAGACCCACTCTCTATCATCTTACAGAGCTTCCATTAGCTGGCCCCTGAAGGCGTTTACGTTTTCAACCCCTGGAGTAACGGTCAGATCTTCAGTTTATAAGGCGCCTGGTACTTGAACTTGTCTTGAATTTGTTGACCTTGTCGTGTGTCTGACTCCAGCCCTGTTGCTTTGAGTATTTACCCTTTGAATAGGTTTGTTTTGTTTTGCTTTTTTGGTATCCTCGTTCTGGGTATTGATGGCATTGATTTTGAGCATGTTGCGGGTGAGTTTGTTTTGTGTTTCAGATTCTTGAGTTAATTGTGATGGAAGGCGTGTGTGTGCATCTGACTCTGGGAGGAGCAGAAAATGCCTGCCCTTTGTTCTGCCGGGACTGGGGGGGTGGGGGTGGGGGGGGCCAGCTCTGCTCCTCCGCCACTGCTGGGCGAGTGCCTCCGCATGTGGAGTGGAGGGCCTATCTGTAAGCGGCAGGTGCGTGATTGCGGTCCGCCTACAGTCTCCTCCCTGCCTGGAGAGGGGAGGGTTTGATCACCCCCAGAGACGTTGGCGCACGCACAGACTGTGGAGGATCTTCAGGACCGGTTCCCTGGGTAAATAAAAAGCCCAGTGGCTTCCCCTTTTCTCAGTGGAAGCAAACACCCAATCTACAGTCTCATGTAGTCTGGAAAGGAATTCCTGTTGGTGTCAATCTTGCACAATTCCTTTAGAGCAGCTTTTGTGTCCTGGGTTATCCCCAGAGGTCTGAGATAATCCCCCTACCTGTCAGTTTCCAACAGAAGTTTTGCTCAAATGGAAAGATTGTAGTGGTTGTAAAGTTTAAATCACGATTTAGATCAGTTTTTCTGCACAAAGATCGTTCATCTGATAAAACCTTAACGCATTCTTCACACTTGGAAGGATTTCATTTAAAGGGACGCTACATATCAGAAAGCAGTGTTTCATGTTTTCTTAATTTTGCAACTATGTCAGAAAACTTTTTTAATTTACTGAAGTTAATTGAATTATTTAAAAGGCAAACTGTATTCAATTACCAGATTAATCATAATCATATAGGAGATATTTTTGCCATTATAAATAAAAAGAGCAACGATAAAGAATGAGATATTTTCTATGATTTAACCAAAGTAGCAATTATGCATTTTATTATATGTATATATAAATCCATGCAGCATATATAGATGTACATAGTATGTATAGGTAGATATAATAGATAGATGTAGTATTCATATAAATATATTTAGATATATGTATATATATATGTATATGTACATATATACACACACCCACTTGTAACAAAACAGGAAAAATACTTTTGAACTTCCAGTCCTGACTGTTGCTTTGTAAAATATATTTTAATAAATTCGATCATCAGTTTTTACAACTTAAAATGTTAGATTTCATTCAGTTTCTCTTTCTTTTTTAATTTAAAATATATTTTACATTTTGGTAACACAAATACATTTTATGGCAAAAAAAAACATTCACACACTGTAGATAAAAGTGAAAGTCTATCTTTATGAACTCTCCCACCCCTACTCCAAGCCCATCCCAGTCCCCTCCCAGATTAACAATTATTTTCAGTTTGGTGTTTATACTTCTAGAAAATTCTATCGTATATATATTTACAAAATATATAATTTTTGGAGGAATCAAACTGCCCAAAACTTACTTTTTTCACTGTTTAATATGTTCATTGTTTGAACATATAGATCTAGCTTATTTTTTTTAAGTTGCTTAGTGTGAATGTACCACATTGATTTTGCCACCCCTCAAGTGACGTTTAAGCTGTCTCTATTCTGTGACTATTGCAAACAATGCTGTACTGCACATCCCTACACACATATGCAAATATTTCTCTGGGATAGACACCAAGAAGTGGAAATGCTGGGAATTATGTGTACATTTTAAATCTTAATAGATATTGCCTAATTGTTTCCAATCTCAATCGTTTTCTATT